TTGAAAATATATATATGATGCGACTTTTCATTTATTCTTGATTTTTATTATAAAAATTTTAAAAAGTAAATGCCCAAAATAATTGTATGTTACCATAAGAAATGGCCTATAGGGAAGTATGTTACGAGACTATAGATCATAGCTATCGTACTTAGGTACGTTTCTAATTTGTTTCTGCCGTACCACCGTTTTTTCTTGGTTATTATAGATTAATCTAGCTTGTTATTTTAGATTAATCTAGAGGTACCACAAAAGAATATCGTATTCCAAATATCATTACATCTTTACTCATATCATGTTCCATATTGAAATTTCTGAAGAATGCATGTGAACGCATCTACTTAACTAGTAGTACTTTTTGCAGAAGAGGTACTGTGCTGTAGTACTGTGTTGTTGCACCCAGATGAACCGAATGCTACAATGTTGTGATACTTTATTTAAAGACTATACTTATTTTAATTTAAGAATTCTTTGTCAAGAAACTTAATTTTAACTAAACAACTTTCATCTTTTTTATTAAAACTTTTGGATCATTTTTATGAATGAAATGTAATTTCCTTCGGAAAATTTTATTTCTGTCTAACTTTGTAACTATCCAAGCTTGACATTTGTAGCTGGAATGATCGGAATCTAAATATAAAATATTCAATTTCTTACTTTAAGAGTGCACATGATTTTGGTTTAATAGCATTGCAGGGGTAAAATTTTATGCTCAGCTTTTTCTAAACGTTAAGGTAGTTAATTTTTACCCGCTTTTAATCCCCATGAAAACACTCAGCACCATTGACGAGACGTAATGCTATTTTACTGCCAGAGACTGTTTTACTCAAAGTTAGCAGTAATAAACAAAACACTTTTGATGACTGCGTTCCATAATTCCGTTTTTATAGTTTTTTCAACCCTCGCGTTATAGGACACCCAGCACCGCACAGTTTTTGCTGTGCTTACAGTTATAGTTCGCCTGATGTAATAATCCGTTGACTCTGGCAACAAACCAAATGCTACAAAAGAAAGTTTTGTTCATTAGAGTTTTAGGGGTGGCGCAAAATCATATCTTTACTCCAGACATTTATTGATGTCGTAAAATTGAAGATTTACGACAGTACTTCCCCTGTCACTAATTTTAGATTACCATAAGAAAAAGAAGAAAAAAATAATAAAATTACTTATATGCGGCAAAATGTTAAACAAAAACAACCAAAAATGTTTTTAAACAACAATACCGAATATATAGGATACTAACAGCTGCGTGATTAAAAAAAAACAAGGAATATCTACAAATCGTAACTTAACAATTTCAATTTAATTTATTTTAATTTAATAAAGAAAACTTTTTAATTATATTATTATAAAGTTTATATAACATATAAATATTATATATATATTTAGATAAATATACATATACTGATAGTTACATTGATATATATATATGTATTTATACACGAAAATTCGTATATAGAATCTCCTGAATTTAAATGAAAACTTTTTTTACTTTTAAAATAAATGTTACGCATTAATAGTAAAAATCCACATTTTTCCCTAAAAAAATATTTTTTTCAATTTCAAAAAAAATTAAATTTTTAACAACTCGATCCCTTTAATAACTGATCCATTTTAACATATATATCAAAGTACTCATTTAGGAATCGTATTGTTGTCATTGTAAAAATTTAGATATAAGTATAAACCAATTTTTTGCATTTATTATAACAAAGTTTCGCTTATAATATAAGATATATAATCTTATTAAAAATTGATTCTAAGGTATAATTGATAGAAAATGATTTCTAACAATATTAAGATTTAAGAAGTCTAAGAAGTGGGCCAAGAAGTGGAAATTAGAAAAATAATTATAAATTTGCTATAACTCGCATTTAGCATTTAAAAACAATAAAATTAAATGAAATAAAATAAAATAAAATAAAATAAAATAAAATAAAATAAAATAAAATAACATAACATAACATAACATAACATAACATAACATAACATAACATAACATAACATAACATAACATAACATAACATAACATAACTTAACATAACGTAACATAACATAACATAACGTAACATAACATAACATAACATAACATAACATAACATAACATAACATAACATAACATAACATAAAATAAAATAACATAAAATAAAATAAATAAATTAAATAAAATTAAATAGAAATAAAAATAAAATAAAGTAAAATTAAACTTAATATAATAAGATTAAACAAAACAAACAAAATAAAATAAAAAAAATCTATATGTTGATGGGAACAAATAGAAGAGTTAGATTAATAGTGAGAATAAATAATTGGAACAATTTGATATCTGGCTATCAATGGCATTTGATGAAACTTGGAAATAATTTCATCTTAGGTCATACAAATTAGCGTTCTATAAAAAAGGATCGTGGAGACGACATTATTTTATATTTATATTATATTATATAAATATATATATATTTATATGATGTAATGTAGATGCGATATCTTTTTTAACAGTGAATTTAGTAATATATTTTCACTTCTTTAAATTTATGGTTTTTGTAGTTAAGATTTTCAGTTGTATGTCAATTTCCTTTTCAAAACTAAATAATCTAAGTTTTACTAGTATTTACTACTTTCATATTTTCACAATATTTCTTTTGAGAAGAAATAATTTTTTTAAAAATAACCTGATAATGAGCCAAAATAAAACGTAATAGCAATAAATTGTTTATTCCATCGATATTGACTTCG